CGATCCACCCGCCTAGGCCTCCCAGAGTGCTAGGATTACAGGCATGAGCCACCGCACCCAGCCAAGACCCTGTTTCTAAAAAAAAGAAAAGAAAAAGAAGTGGCAGAAAATATTTGTATCACATATTATATGATAGACAAAATGTCAATTGCATATATATATATATATATATATATAAAGCACCTATAAATCAATTTTAAAGAGACTAACAATCCAGTAGAAAAATGAGCAAGGGACATGAACAGTTAGTTCACAGCAGAGGAAAAACACATGACTAAGCAAAGATGCTAAAACTCAAGTCTTAAGAAGAAAAATGCAAATTAACCTGGTAGTTTTCACTTATCAGATCAGCAAAGCTAAAAAAAATTCTATTGGTGAGAGTGTAAGGAAACTCAGATATGACAGAGAGTGGAGTGTAAATGAATCAAACTTTGGAGGGTAATATAGCAATATATATATTTAAATTGTAAATATGCTTTGACCTAGAGGTTCCATTTCTATTAATTTCTCAAGTCAAGGATCTACCTTGCAGCATTGTTTGTAATGGCAAAGACTGGAAACAACCTAATGTCCATCCACAGGAAGTTCATAAAATAAAAATGTTCATGTATCCAATGGAATACCATGAAGCTGGTAAAGAGAATGGGGACACTTTCCCTGTGTGCTGTGACAAAATGATCTCCCCCACACACTATTAAGTGAAAAAAGCAAGGTGCCTTTGGGATGGGGAAGTGGGGACTGGGTGGCTGCATTTGGAAAAGGGAGGGAGCCTCCCTTTGCAGATTCTCTCTGCCGCTCTCTCCAAAACTATTTTTCACTTCTTCCTGGAAGTTCCCACCTGGAGGAGAATTCCAGGAGCCCAGCCTGTGAGAAGCAATGTGAGCAGGGACTGTATTGTGTTTAGTCACTGGAATTTTGGAGAGTAACTCTTGCAGAAGTACTGTTACAATATCCTTTTGATATCATACTAGCTCTTCAACACAAAGCCAGACAAAATGCATATGCTGGCCGGGGGTGGTGGCTCACGCCTGTAATCCTGGGAGGCCAAGGTGGGAAAGCTTGAACTCAGGGGTCCAAGACCAGCCTGAGCGAAAGCTAGACTCCGTCTCTACTAAAAATAGAGAAAATTAGCAAGGCACGGTGGTACTGCCTGTAGTCTCAGCTACTTGGGAGGCTGAGGCAAGAGGATCCATTGAGCCCAGGAGTTTGAGGCTGCGGTGAACTATGATGACGGGAAACAGAGTGAGACTCTGTCTCAAAAAAAAAAAAAAAAAAAACAGAAACCTCATATGCCGTTGGTCTCTTTTGGCCCTTGCATCAACACTTTTGCCTGGTATTTCTTAACTGGGCCTTGGCCAACTTCTGCTTCGGCTCCAGGGTCTCCAGCCACAAACAGCAACTTGGACACTTGTTGCCTAGATATGCCCCCTTCTTCCACTTTTTGGCTGTAAAAACATACTTCCCTGGCACAGCTCAGCTTTTCTGGCTTCTACTGACATTTATCTGGTTGAAATGCACTCATGTGACTGGGTATCTACCCCCTTCCGACCCAATGCCCTCTCATCCCTTCCTGCATCCTTGGCACCCAGTTCAGGATGTCCCTGGAATAAATGACTTTGCAAAATCCTCACTTCCACCCCTGCTCTCAGGTAATCCATAGTCATTCTGAGATGAGTTTAAGAAGCAAATCAAGCAAACTAAACTCCACTGAAAACCCTGCCTGGCCCTGTCCACCTGCCCCTTCACCTCCCATTGCCACCCACTTGTTCATGGGACTCCATTCTTTCTATTTCTCTAGCATGAGCCAGGGTGGTCCCATCTCCCCGCCTTTGCACTTGCTGTCCCCTCCCCCTGAGATGCTCTTCCTGAGACCTTTATAAGACTAGCTCCATCTGTCTCTTCACCCCATTCACCTCCTTCATGGCCTTATCACTCTCTGAGATGACCTCACGTTTGGGGTTATGGCAGGTCTCTCCGCCTAGAGCAGGGGTGGAGAATCTTTTCATGTTGCAAAGACACATTAATTTAGCCATTATCAAATAAGGCCACATTCAAGAAACTTCAATTAGATATACTTAAAAATGTACATTATTTTGTAAAAATCTAACTACTATGTACTTAATAATTTCAAAAATGAACATTATTTGTTAATTTTAAAGTTAACTAACCTTTTAATGACATTGTTGTGTCTGCTTTTTGTTGGAAAGCATTTGAATATTTGGTTGCAGCATAGAGGTCCACGGTTTCAGTTGATCCTCTAGATGGGTATCAGTCATTTGTGACCTTAAGGGCGTCTTGATTTGGGTTAGGTAGGAGAATGTAGACTCACAGCAATAAGTGGTTGAAAATCAAGAAAGCGTTTTTTCGGGCATGTTGCCCAAGGCGTGGGTATTTCTTTTTTTTTTTTTTTT